GGGGCGGGGGCTGGGGCTGGGCAGGGCAGCCGTAGGGGCTTCTCCTGCAGCTCCCCCTGCCTGGGTTCCTGGTGGATCTGTATCTCTGAATCAGCCCCGGATCTCCAATTCTGATTCGGCCAAATCGAATGGGGACAGTAATTCAAATCACCGAATAGAATCCCTGCCCTCCAAATTGGCTGAATCTGAATCCAAATCGAATACTTCCCTATTCGCACAGGCCTAGTAAATAGAACATTCAGCATAGTTGGAAGTGGAAACTATCTTGTACGTCAACATAAAACACATCAAGGATGATGTGTGGGATTCGTGCTCAGCAAGTCAATGGTAGAAATATGCAACTTTGTAAGTTATCACTCTATGGGCGTGTCTACATATGTGCTTTAATGCACAGTAGCCTGTTTTACTGAGCATTAAAGCATCATGTAAAAAAACGTGATTATGCTAATATGCAGTAAAATAGGCTACTGTGTATTAAGCATCACTTAAAAACCATTTGCATTCATTACTGCGCATTAATGCAGTCTATTGTGCATTTCTTTAGTACTTCACATTGGAGGTACTCAAGTTAATGCACATTAAAAAAAGCACCTTAATGCACATGTAGTCACCTTAATGCACACCCAGTCAGTCTCATAAAATCCCAAATCTATAGAATAAAAGAAGCAAGCCTCAACTCCCTTCCAGCAGAGGAAAATGCAGTAAAGAAGAAAATGGAAATGCTGCAGCTTGGCGTTTATATTAAAAAAAAAGAAAAAAATGGGGAAAAAAAGGCCTGGAGAGTTCATTTTGCCCAATACATTGCCCTTCTTGAGCAAAAACTTCAAATTTTAATTTAACAAGGAAAAAGTAAAATGAAAATGAGGGAGAAATTCTCAAAAAGGTTCTCAGAAGGCTAAGGAGCTTAAGAATTATACTTTAAATGATTAGGTTGAAGCATCCAAAGTTCATGTATTAGAAACAAAAATGATGTTTTCTGACAAATTCAGAACACTATATAAATACAATTGCTTTAAAGTTTCTTTTATCTGCCTTTTTGCTACAGACAAGTGAGAGAAATGGATGTTTATTTTAAATGGATGTTAAGATGCCCATTCTCCCCTTGTTATTAATAGGAATTCTACCTGAGATGCATACCCACCTTAATAAAATGGCTGCCTTTCCAAAAATGTTAATATACCTAAAGATATTTTGGCATTTTATCTGTGTTGAAATATAATTAGACCACACTATTTCAAAAGAAAATTGTAATTTCTGTACCTGCTTACATCAGTCTGTGTTTCTGCTTCCACCCACTGCTTGCGAATGTTCTTCCTTTTTCTTTTAGCAGGAGTGTAGTACCTGTACTCTGACAAGAAAGATTTTGCTTCTGATTTTAAGGTGCGTGGTGTGAATGGTTGGTGGTTGTCAGTAAAGCGATTGGAATGCTTATCTAGGAGATCACCACTGTAGAGTTTGCATTCAGCCTCCTGCTGTGTGTGTGAATGACCAATGCTCATAACACTATCAGCAGAGAAACCATATGAAACTTCAGACTGTTTTCTCAATGGACTTGAATCACTGACACGTGACTTAGAGGCAGAGGCATTAGATGTTTTCCGAGCATCTTTCCTGTCACATTTTGTGGGACTGGAGACATCCAGGCCTTGCCTGTCTGAAAATGATAATGACCTAGATAAATACTTCTGTGAATTTTGTGCGCAGGGAGATAGCTGCTCATTGTCTTCTGTTTCACAGGAAACCTAGGAAAACACAAAGTTAAAACATGATTTAATAGCTAAGCAAGCAGACAACAGCTTTGCTCATTGGGGGTCTCTGCTGCTCCTGTGGCAGTTTTACCAAGCTGGAAGGGGTGTTTTTATGAATGATTTTGCCTTTCAGCAAAGTTAAATCTGTTACAAAGAAGTGTCACAGCTGATATTTTTTGTCACCTCTAACCAGTGAAGAATTACAAGAGTAAAGGCCTGGAAGATGGAGATTAACACTTAAAATGTTACTTTTTACACTCAAAATATCCACAGAGAGGCTGAAAAAATGCCATCTTTCAGCATTTTAGCCTGTGCATTAAGCCACAGGTTTATTTCTTTTCAGTCCAATAGCTGAATATACTTTAAAAAGTCAAAAGAAAAAAAATTAATACCTTCACTGACCAAATTGGCTCCCTTTGTGCTGCATGGACAGAGAACGGCGAGTGGAAATGACCTGCAATTCCCCTGCTGGGTATTTCATTACAGTGGGGAATCCTCCAGCAGGTGTGTAACCAGTGTGACCTGGCCCAGTGCCTCCCTCCCAAAGCCCGTTGACATGGGAGCATGTTCCATTCCAGCTACCTCCAGATAATGGATAGCCCATAGGGAACCACTGCCAGCTCAAATGTTTGGGCAGCTTGGGAGCAGCACTAACTTGGGCCGGGGCACAGAATCAGAGAGCTATAACTGGCCTTTGGTTCTCAATTTATATATATATTGGCTGACATCAAAATGGAGCCACATCTAATACAATACAGGAAACTTCTGTGTCACAGTGCACAGCAGTCACACACAAGAGCTTAAGGCAGGAAGTAAAGAACATCGTCACCCATCTAAATGATGTATAGACAATTCGTTGAGATTTGCATAGGCACTAACTGAAAATGCAAAGTATTTATTAAAATTTCAGCTAAGAGATTGTTTAGATGAAGTATTGTCACTTTGAAACATAAAAGAGAGGATTGTATTGGGTGACATGCCAATGTTGTAGCAGAATTCAAGACAGTATCTATGTTGTTAAACACAGACAGGCAGTATTTTACTCTCTCCATCACTAAAATAAAATCTTCAGTGTTTGGACACAGGTCCTGGGCTTATACAAGCTCTGTCCAGAGCAGGTTTGTGAGTATTTACCAAGGTGACTTTATGCCACTTTTCCACCCACCTGAAACTGCTTGGTCCTAGACTAGTTTCTGGTTTGAAGTGAAGTAGCCTAATAACTGCTCTAATCTATGACAGGTGCCAGGGGCAAGGACTATTCCAGCAACCCCGTATTGCCACTGCTTAGAGATATCCTGGCCATACTCCCTGTCTGAGGGCTGTGTGGGGGTGGCACAGCTGCTGAAAATTGCTTTGTGAGGGAAGAATCTGCCAGAAGAGCAGATTCAATCAGTTAAGTCTGCTTTGTGCTGCTTGAGTAGAGGAAGGCACTTAAGGTCCTCTTGGGTTTCTTCATTATTTAAAATTAACATATAAGAATTAATTAAAAATAAGCTGATAAATGTGCAGTGAAGGGTTGATGTGCAACTTTCCTCTACTAGTAAGATGGCATGAGGAACTGATGGCACAAGGTTAATATTGGGGGAAGTGCTGCTAGTAGCTGTGGACCTTTTGTAGAATAATCTCCAGATATGCATGAGACGCTTCAAGTCTCCCACTGAAAATGAACAAGAATGAGCAAATTCCTGAACATTTTGTCTGCTGTAGTGTGCAGTCTGGCAACCACTAAGATACATGATTCACATCAGAGAATCACAAACATTAGAGCTAGAATAAACCAAACTGTTCCTAAAAGTAGAATGGCTTCCCATGGTATACCTCTTGCTCTTGTCTTCCCCAAACAACAGCATTTTTTAAAGTTCTAGGCCAGAGGTTTCCTTATTGCATACCCCCTTCCAAATTTAGAAGCTGCCTGCGTATCCCTACCAGTATACAATTTATATTTTTACCCCCTTAAATGCCAATTATTATTATAATGAAAATTAAATCTGCCATTACATAATTTCTCTCACATATCCCCCCCCCCCGAGATATCTTGCGCACCCTGTGGGGTATGTGTACTACAGTTTGGGAATCCTGCTCTAGGCAATGTGACTTTCTGCTCTATAAATAATGTTGCATTATTTCCCAGTAACAGTGCTATTAATTAATCTTTGTGTCTCTGATATCCAGGAATCCTGGTTTTCCCTGATAAAAAAAAAAATCACAAATTCTCTAACAAACCCCCCAAATTACCCCTGCCAGTTTTCCCTCAGCCCTGCTTGTGCCTCTCACTCCCCCCACCCCCCACAGCCCCCTGGCACTGCTTGTGCCCCTTGCCCCCCACCCACAGCCCCTGATCCCCAGCCTGGCTGGAGGGGGCCCCAGCTGTCAGGGCTACGGGGCCAGGGACCTGCATCCACAGCCCTCTGCCCCCAGCAGGAGGCAGTGGCTACTGTAGCTGAGCAGAGCCCAACTCCACCCTGCTGCAGGCTGGGGGTGGGGAGGACAGCTCCCCGCTGCAGCTTGCACTCCTGGGGGGCAGGGGGGAAACTGTACCCCCCAGATCTGTGCACAGGTTGGGTATGGGCTGCATGCTGTGGGCTCCTGCCCTACTGCCCTCCCCTGGGGCCTCTGCAGCCCGGCAGGTGTGACCCAGCACTGCAGGGCAGAGTGGGGCCACACAGGAAACCTCTTGAGCTCCATGCTGCCCTGGAGATGCGTCCCCTGCATGAGCGGCTGCAGTGAGGGCAGTGGCATGGGGTTGTGCCCCTAAAAGATGCTGCGCACACAGGGAATGCATCACCAGGTCAGTGCGGAGCTTTCAGCTTTCCTGCGCGGCCGTGCTCTTCCCTGAAGTGCTGGGTCATGCCTGCCAGGCTGCGGAGGCCCCAGGGGAAGGCAGCAGGGCAGGAGCCCAAGCTTGCATCTGCTGTGTCCCCACCCTGCACACAGATCTTGGGGCATGGGTTCCTCTTGCCACCCCAACAGTGAGTGCTGCGGCGGGGAGCCAGCTCCACTCCCCCACCTCCCAGATGAGCCTCCCATGGCCCCATCCTGCTTCCAGCTGGGGCCCTGCAGCTGCGTATTGCAGCCTCAGGCCCTACACATCACCCAGCTGGGCAGCAGCCCCAGTTCCAGCCCCAGCTCTGCCCAACTCCCTCCCTCCCTCCCTCCTTTTGGGGACATCAATCCCCTCCCCGCCCCCACACTTACTGGCAGGAGCTGCTCTCCAGGCTGCCTCCTCCCACTCCCTCCCAGCCCCTTGCAGGCTGCAACTCTGCCAGCCCGCAGAGAGTTTATTGCAAAACTGCAAAATCCACAGGTTTCTCTAGTAAAATGAGAAATCTGCGTTTGCCTCCAGTAAAAGGTAAAATCTTTGGTTTACTTCATTTTTCCATGATATCCTTGCTGATATCTCAAGACTGATCCATGCTGAAATCTCAAGACTGCATGGCATTTTAGGTTAAAACTTCAGGTAATCAACATTGCTACTGCAACACATTAACAGCACTGCTTAAAATGTATTTAAAATAAACCCAAAAAAGGAATACCATCAAAAATAAATCATAGCCCACAGTATGCTCATATAATACCTCTTCCCCATATTCCCTCTTTCCACTTTTCTCTAGATTTAATAAAGAAGGTACAAGTAGTCTAGTGAGAGAAAATATCTGAAATGTGTTTACGTGCTAATGACTAAGGCAAAGAGCTAATGTTTTTACAGTTAGTAGAACTGAAATAAATCCTTCTTGATGGTGTTTCATGCGAGCCAACTTCATTGTATTGCTGCAGCACAATTACGTGCTGAACTGATAACCTGCAATAACAATACCAAACAAATGCCTGTGTTAGCAGGCAGCATAATAAGGTTTACCAGAGTTATTGTTTGAATATAAAATAGTTGCAGCTGTAGTTCAGTACTATGGAAAACAGATAACACTGGAATGTTTTGGAATCCACCTATTCGAATATTTTTGAAAGCAAATTGCAAACTGCCTACCAGTTATAAAAACAACAACTGGTATAGGCACTTCTGTGCTCTACTTTCTCAAAATGAAGTAAAGCACTGGAACTTGTTACCCAGAGAGGTTGTGGTTTCTCCATCCTTGGGGTTTTTAAGACCCAGCTAGAAAAAGCCTTGGCTGGGACGATCTAGTTGGCGATGGTTCTGCTTCGAGCACACGGTTGGACTAGATGACCTCCTGAGGTCCCTTCCAACCCAAATTTTCTATGAATCTATGAAAATAAGGCATGAAGCCACACAGTAAATCATACTTTGGGATCCTATGGTAACCTTTGGCAAGTGGGAACTCTGAAGTAGTATCTAAAATAAATACTATTTCTTTGGTTGTTATGGGTTATGGACCAATTACCGCACTGATTATACCTCATGAAAATCCAGTGGGACCTAGTCCTTGAACCTGGCACAAATTAAAGGGGAATAAAAAAAGTAAAGATGGTAGCATCCCATTTTTTCTCTCTCCCTATTTCTGGGGCTGCTGGGGCCAGATTCTTACACCTGTCAGGGATTGCTGGACCAGTGCAATACTATAGACACACCTGAGATGATCTTCCTAGAGAAAACAAGGAAGTACCCCTCCCCTGCAACTGGGGCAATTTGCAGTTCTCCAAACGGGTCAGTTTTAAGGTTCCTTAGTACTGCCGAGGAGGTGCAAAGACATTCCCTCAGCGACCAGGAACTAGCTCACCAATTTCATGGTGCAGGGGGTGTCAGCTGGAATAAAAGGAAGCTCTAAACTTGGCCACTAAGTGGCCATGCACATCTACATGAGATGCTGACTGCACAGTCATTATGCACAGTCATTTAGTACTTGTATGACTGTGCAGTAACCAGAGTTTCTCTGCAGTAGCACTGCCAAATGACTTTTTTGTGACGCTAACTGTGCAGTAGCCTGAGACTGCTGTGCAGTAGCGTCGT